AAGATTATTAAAAAAGACATCCTCTTTCCATAATCTTTTAAAGAAATGAAATTTTAATATGCACACAAATCACCTGGGAATATTGTTAAATGAAGATTTTAACTGAAGCTTTAAAGAGGGGCTGGAGATTCTGCATTTTTAATACACACCCAGGTGTTGCTGATGCTGCTGAGTCCATGGACCAAATCCTAAGTTTCAAATTTATTTTTTTAAAGTTTTTTTAAGTTTTTTAAGTTTTTAAAGTTTATTTATTTAAATAATCTCTACACCAAACGTGGGGCTCAAATCCACGACCTTGAGATCAAGAGCCACACACTCTTACAGCTGAGCCAGCCAGATGCCCCTATGCTGCAAGGTTTTAAAAACATCAAATGGTGTTGTCAAATGTGTTTAATTCAAATGCATACGTGCACGGGGCTATTTCCTAGCAGCAATGTTCTTTATGGAAAGACCTCCTAGGCAAAGCTTTTGCCCCCCAAATCCTGAGGGGTTAACTTGTTTTCATTTCAGTGAACATAATATGTCTCAGGGTTAAATTCTGGAGAGAAGAAGCCCCTACTATTCCCTCCTTCATCAATCAGAGTGTGTATGTACATGTCCTTGTTTTTAAACCATAACAGAAAGAGGCCAGGAGCTCCGGATGTATCTATGGCAGAGATCTGCTCAAAGGCAAAGGTGGCACCTTCTAGAAGTAGTACAACACCCACGGTCCACAAACAGTTCAGTCAGGTTAGCACAGGATTTTCAGTCACTTGGTACCTTCTCTGCCTAAGCGGCTACAGAGGAGAAGCACTTGCTGAGCCAAGTGTGTAGGCTCAGGGACTGGGGTGGGAAAGGGTTGGTACTAGCCTAATGCTACAAATACAAAAAACAATGTAGTGCTTTCCATCGTACATTTTGTGAAACATTACTACTATAAGATATTTCTTGAAAATAGGGATCTATAGTCAAATATTTTGGAAGACACTAATCTCACAAATGGGTGTGAAAGTTCACCTACAGTGAGGTGGATTATTTACATAAATTTTGGCAATTATTATAGTGCAATATAGCCTAGCCTCTAGAAGAAAAAGGAGAAAATAGAAAGGTGGTCATGATGAAATCTTAAGAAAAATGGTTGTAAAAACAAAAGCACACCATAATGCCATTTAAAAAAACAAAACAAAACAGGGCACCTGGGTGGTTCAGTTGGTTAAGCGACTGCCTTCGGCTCAGGTCATGATCCCAGAGTCCCAGGATCAAGGCCCGCCTCGGGCTCCTTGCTCAGCCCTCTGACCCTCCCCCCTCTCATGCTCTCTCTCTCTCTCTCTCCCCCTCTCATTCTCTCAAATAAATAAAATCTTTAAAAATAAAATAAAAAAAATATATATTAATGTGTCCAAAAAAAAAAAGACTCAAAAGAAATGCACAAAAATGTTAACAGTGGTCCACTCTGTTTGGTGGGGGTTATTGATGGCTTTTAAATTTTCCCCTTTTAGCTTATCTGAAATTTTCTAGAATATTGCTTTTTATAACAAAAATACAATAAATAAGACAAAATAGGGGCACGTGGGTGGCTCAGTCGTTAAGCATCTGCCTTGGGCTCAGGTCATGATCCCAGGGTCCTGGGATCGAGCCCCGCATCAGGCTCCCTGCTCCGCAGGAAGCCTGCTTCTCCCTCTCCCATTCCCACTGCTTGTGTTCCTGCTCTCGCTGTGTCTCCCTCTGTCAAATAAATAAATAAAATCTTAAAAAAAAAAAGACAAAATAATGCAGAGTATCATCATATCCAATATGACTAGCTATTTTTTATATTTATATAGTGATTATATGATAAATATTCAACATTTTATCCCTAACGTTCACAGGTAACAATAAAACCTGGCTTAAAAAATATATGTGCCTAGGAGGGGCACCTGGGTGGCTCAGTCAGTTAAACGTCTGCCCTCAGCTCAGGTCATGATTCCAGGGTTCTGGGATCGAGTCCCACAGTGGGCTCCTTGCTCAGCAGGGAGCCTGCTTCTCCCTCCACCTGCTCTGCCTGCCGCTTCCCATTTGTGCTCTCTCTGACAAATAAATAAATAAAATCTTAAAAAAAAAAAATTCTTCTCCCTCTGCCCCTCCCCCCACTCATGCGCAAGTGCTCCCCCCAATGAATAAAATCTTAAAAAAAATATACATATGTATGTATGTATGTATGTATGTGTGCCTAGGAGAAAATACAGTTATATTTTTTAAAATTTTGGCCCGGGTTTAAGTTTAACACTACTGACAGAAATTATAATATTCATAATCTTATTAATATTCATAACAACTGACAAGATTTAATAAACATATAAAAATTCTGACAAGTAGAAACACCCTAAGAGACCGTGCTAGACAGAATTCTAAGATGGCCCCCAAATTTCCAGTCCCCCTGATGTATAAACCTTCTGAGTACAATGGGGTTTCACTTCTGTGATTAAATTATGTTGTATGGAAACGTGGAAGGATTTTGCAGATGTAATCAATCAGCTAACCAGCTCAATCTGAATTAATCTAAAAGAAGACTATCCTAGGTAGATCTGATCTCATCAGGTAAAAAGAAGGGTCACAGTACTTTCCTTGAGGTCAGAGAAATTCAAAGCTAGAGATTCTGCTGCTGGCCTTGAAGAAGCAAACTGTGAGGCTATGGAGAGGCCATGTGGTAAGAAACGGTGGGCCACCTCAAGAAGCTCAGAACAGTCCCAGGCTGACAGCTAGCAAGACAGCAGGGACTTCAGTCCTACAACCTTAAGCCTCTGAATTCTGCCAAAGACATGGGAACTATGAAGAGGACTCTGAGCCTCGGATAAGACCACAGTCCCAACTGACACCTACATTTCAGCTTGGTGACAGACCCTGAGGGAGGATGTCGCCATCCCACACCCAGGCTCTAGCCCCACAAAAGCTATGAGACAGTTTATCTGTGTTGTTTAAAGCCACTAAATTTGTCGTAATTTGTTATGTGACAATAGAAAACTAATACAGTGATAAATGATGAACCAGGAAAATACTTGTCACATATAGAAGGATAGTATCACAGCATCAAACTTTTTAATATTTAGTTCAATACAAGTGCACAAATGAAAATGGACAGTGGCCACAGACAACCTAGACTGAACAACGAGCTGAATGCCAGTCCTGCCTTAATAGATAAAATCTTCCTACAGATGACAAAGAAAAGCTCATTTGTAAAATAGGAAAAGGAAATGATCACTTTACCAAGGAAATTCAAAAAGCTAATAAACATATAAAAAGTTAAGCATCTCACTGCTCATCAGAGACAAATTAAGACAATGAAGTGCTGGGGCACCTGGGTGGCTCAGTTGGTTAAGCGACTGCCTTCAGCTCAGGTCATGATCCTGGAGTCCCGGGATCGAGTCCCACATCAGGCTCCCTGCTCAGCCCAGAGTCTGCTTCTCCCTCTGACCCTCTTCCCTCTCGTGCTCTCTCTCTCTCATTCTCTCTCTCTCAAATAAATAACTAAAATCTTTAAAAAAAAAAAAAAAAAAAGACAATGAAGTGCTGATAAAAAGAGTAACTTCATCCCATTATGGCTGGTGTGAAAAATGGGTATTGTTTTTCTGGGTGGTGGGAATGTAAATTAGCACAATATTTTAGATATAAATTTTGTAGGATCTATAAAAATTTTATATGTGCGTACCTCTGGAGCCAATAATACCACTTCTAGAAATGTATCTTTTTCTTTTTTTAAAGATTTTTTATTTATTTATTTGAGAGAGAGAATGAGAGAGAGCATGAGAGGGGGGAAGGTCAGAGGGTGAAGCAGACTCCCTGCTGAGCAGGGAGCCCGATGCGGGACTCGATCCCAGGACTCCAGGACCGTGACCTGAGCCGAAGGCAGCTGCTTAACCAACTGAGCCACTCAGGCGCCCTCTAGAAATGTATCTTATAAAAATAAGATATGTACAAACATGTATGTACAAAAATGCATATTATATGATGAATTTTCTTTTACATATCATAATCTTTAATACTATATCTCCTTGCCTTAAACTCTAAAAGCTACATGAGATCAAGGGACTTTTGCCACATATTAGGGGCTCACAAAATTTATGTTGAATGAGTAAGTAATAACTGAGTAAGTTCACTGCAAGTACTGTTACAATAGCAAAGTAAGCTTGACCACACACAATGCAATACTATGCACTTAATGTTATGAGCTGACTCAGAAAAAAAGTCCATGAGATATTGTTGAATAAAAGAAGAAAACTGCCAAAAAAAAAAAAAATGTTCTAACTTAAAAAAGGGAAAATGTGCAAATATATACGTTCACATATAAAAGAATATGGAGAGTTATATATTCATCAGATTGTTTATGGTGGTTAACCTCTATAGAGTAAGGTTTTTAATTAGTTACGGATACTTCTCAGAAACATTTTCATAGGAGTGTACATCACTTTTGTAAATAACAAAATTAATGTAGTTCAATTCTTTAAAGACAACTTGTAATTTGTATATTTACTTCCTTAGCCTCAGATGTTTAGCTCATCATATTTATTCTTAAACTAGGTGTTCTTAACCAAGAATTGATGGATATCTATGGGCTAAACGATGATGTGATGGCTTAAAGGGGGGGCTGTAGCCCCTCCCTTTGGAATTATTTTCAAAATATTTCTGAGGGAGATGGTCCATAGTTCCATTAGATTCATTAGATTCAAAATATTTCTTAGGGAGATGGTCATAGTTTCATTAGATTCTCACAACTACCTATAATACTGTATTCTCACTTAACCTCATCTCCAACCTTCTACTACTAGTAATAATTTACTTTCCTTTTAAAGAAACTATGGCAGTAGACTCCTTGACTCTGACCTACCAACTTTTGAAAGAACAACAATGAAGCTTAATGCCTCTTTTGATGAGTTAAGTACCTAATGCTTAATTATAGCACCTGTATGCTAGAATTATCAGACCTTTAACTGGGTGCCAAAAAAGACCAATCTTAGGGTTGGTTTTCATAGAAACCCAACACTCACCATTTTCTTCATGGCAGTAATCAAACCCTGCCACACTACATCTTCGGAAAACCATCTTATTCTCAGTGAGAGTTCCTGTCTTATCAGAAAAGAGGTACTGAATCTGTCCAAGATCCTCAGTGATGTTCAGAGCTCGGCACTGAACAGTGGAATCCATCTTCTCATTGTAGAAATCCACATCACTTTGTATAAAATATATCTGTCCGAGCTTCACAATTTCAATGGAAACGTAGAGAGAAATGGGAATCAAGACCTAAGAGGAACCAAGTAATTTAAAAAATGTTAGAGAGTGAAAAGAAAGTTTGAGAAACCAAATATAGTTGGGTAAGTAACAAATATCTTAAAATTCTATGATGAGCTCAACAGAAATTACCTGTAACAAAATGATCATGGTCCAGAACATATAGAATCCTGCCAACACTGGTGATATGACACGTCCATCAGGCTCAGGGATATTAAAAAACATTATGCTTTCATATCTACTCAACCAGATTCCATGACCTTTCAAAAAACACACAGACATGAAAAGGATGCTATATATGTATTATGTAAATATAGAACTTCATTCCTAAAGAGGAATAAAAGTATTTATTTTGGTTGAACACCAAGGGTTTATTTTTGAAAACAAACTGAAATGCAAAAGGCTCCACATTCTCCTGTCCTGGTCTCTCTTTAAATCTCTTCCCAGGTCCCTTTCCTACTGTGGCCACATGTAACTGGATATAATCAACATTAATGCCTTTCAGATCACAGAATGAGAAAGATAAAGATCTGATGGAAAAAATTATTGGTAAATAATCTCCTTTGCAGAAGTCAAATATTCGTAAATATTTCAAAAATTAAATACTTTTAAATAGAGATCTTGCTGAAAAGATGTCAGTATAAAAAAATCCTATTTTACCTACCCAATGCACCAGTTAAACACATCACAACCAAAAGCAGGACACACCAGAGGACATCTGTATTTGCTCTCCTTTCTAATTTGCTGCGCTTATACCTTGGACCACTGTTGTTCAGCATTGCTTTGGTTTCATGGCCTACACAGGTAACATGTCAGAAAATGTGCAAATTAAAGCCAGATAGCAAATATCAAATTTTTAAATCTCTGTGACAGATACAAAGAGAAGTTGCATAATATATTTTGCTAATTTAGTTTGCTTTTGTGATCCATTTAGAAAAACAGAGACCAAGGATTAAGTTTATCAAGACAAAATTTCCTTTCTGCTTTTGTAAACTGCATTTTGAATAAATGGAAAATGTTAACTTGAAGAAAAACACAGAGGAGACAACAGTGAAAATAAGTGTCACTGACCTGCGTAAACCACAATGCCCACAACAGCCTCTGTGTTTCTAATGGTGCATCCTCTAAGTAATAAATTTTCTTTACTGAGACCCACACGTTCTTTGTTGGAATGTTCTCTATAAGAAAGACAGCACAGAGATTCATTTTTACTTAGCAAAAGCGGGGGGAAAAATAAATAGCAAAAATGGGGATGTAAAAACAAAAATCATGGATTTTGAGTTTTCTTGGCTGGGAGTATTAATTTGAGCAGTTCAGAAGAAAGGTTTCAAATCTCTGGGCCATTTGCTTTTGTTACTTTGCTTTGGCGCAGAGAAAGATGCAACAAGTTTCAACTACCATTGTTTTCTACTATTCACTGTTTGTCAACTTCTAGCACCACAGAAACTCAAAAATATTCCAAATAAGGAAATGTTACTCCAGTACAAACTGTATTTCAGCGTAACTTAGTTAACAGACAAGGGAAAAGTTCTTGATAGAATTAGGAAATTACCTTTTCCAACCCGGATGGAATCAAGGATTGTTCTAGGCAATGGTAACCTATGGCTGTTAAAATCAGTAGGTGACACACTGATGAGGAATTTTATAATGAAAGGATAAGGCTGAGAACACCAATCTTAACAGAACCACCGACGGGACAAGGGACATCATGGGCCTCCAGATGCTATGGAATAGAAGCACATGTCTCCACAGGATCCTAATCAAGGCTCTGTCACCGCAAATCAGCCTGGGGTCTGCGGCATCAAGAGATCTGTGAAGCCTTTGAAACTGTATGCAATATTTCCTGCGTGTACGTATGTGTGGATATCTACGTCTATCTCGGTAGAAAGAGGAACTATTTCTTTCATCAGATTCGAAGGTGCCCCTGGACAGTTTACAGGAAGTCAGAGGGCCAGAAAAAAAAAACAATGCTCACCACCACCCCAAGGATGCAGTGGGCCAAATCTAAGTGCAGTATAAACCGCAGCCAAAATGACCGGGCTTATTCAACAAATGGATGGCAAGGGGGCACAGGGAGAAGCAGGGAGGTCTCAACTCGGGAAGAAGGCAATCAGCTCAGTCTAGAAAGGGGTAAATTCTACCAGCTAAATGACCTAATTTCTTGGGAGGGAAAATTTAGAGACATGTCAACCAAATGAAATGGGCAGACCTTATTCTGATCCTGGTTAGGCTGTACTGACTACAAAAAATTTTTTTGAGATAACTGGACAAATCTGAACAAAAACTAGTTATTAAATGATATCAAGAAATTGTTCTTAATTTAGTTAGGTGTGATAATGATGTTACGGCTCTGGTCCTTTACTGCTATGTATTCATAGTGAAGTAGTTACAGTGAAATGCTAATGGGGAAGAAGTAGGAAGATAATTAAAACAAAGTTGGCAAAATTAGCCCGTGAGTGTTATGTTTTTCTTTCTGCTTTTGCATGCTTGAAATGTTCTGCAATAAACAACTTAAAAATTATCAAAGTAATTACTTAAGTTATGATAGTGGCAAAAATACAGAGAAAAACAACTGGAAATTTTTTTTAAATAAGCAAAAAGTAATGTATTTCACCTATTTTGAAAATGCCCTCTTCGTTTCAGCATTAAAATTAGACTGTTTTCTAAGCAATATGCTTCTGTCAGTAAGTTGTTTCTTTTTTCTTACGTATAGGAAAACTCTCCCTGTATCTGGCATCCTTGCTCTCTGGAAAAATAACTCTTCAAAGAAGGTTTCATACCACAAAGGACAAAAAAAATTGATTTGTTCCTTCACTCCTGTATCTGTAAACACCTTATACTAAGAGATGTATGTTTACATTCCTTCATATACGTCCTTTTATGTACAAAGAGACAACCACGGAGTCATAGTCAGGGTCAGCAGTGTCCTTGGGTTAATTTAATTCTACTTCCTGGTTTTATAGAGGAAGAATTTAAGTCCCAACATTCACATTTCCATGTAGTATTCCCAGGCAAACACCACACAATGCTCATCAGTATAGCATTCATTATCCCTAGAACTTTTATAGGAACAGATTTAATATACACAAGCATTTCCAAAGTTCCTCAGTAAGATTTTAGATTTTTTTTCCACCTGGGATCCCTATTTTTCACGATTACATCACTCTAGGTTACTATCATTAGATCAAAGCCTAACTCCTATCCTTACTGTGTCTGCCCAAACATTAAACAGGTCCTGCACCTGACAGGTATATATTTGGCACTTATGATGTGGGACCTTTGGACTCTATATGAAGCACTGACTGTCCACATAGAGCTCTTATCCATTGAAGAAGCTAGGTAACATCTGCCACATGCCCAGCAGTCCTGCTCAGATGCCGAGAATGGAAAAACACACACAGTCGTGGCTCCTGTGGTCTAAGGGGAGGTAATTGATAGAGAAATACCTAAGTGTAATAAAATTATTAGAGATATTATGATAGAAATCTGATATTCAGCATGCACTGTGGGCACAAATAGGGAGAACGTCAGTTCTACCTGAGAGTAAGACCAGAGAAATCACCAGGTAGAAAGTGAGCTTGAGCATCTCAATTTTTGATTTGATTTTTTTTTTTTAAGAATTTTATTTTTTTTATTTTTTATTTTTTTAAGATTTTATTTATTTATTTTTGAGAGAGAGAGAGAATGAGAGATAGAAAGCACGAGAGGGAAGAGGGTCAGAGGGTCAGAGGGAGAAGCAGACTCCCTGCTGAGCAGGAAGCCCGATGTGGGACTCGATCCCGGGACTCCAGGATCATGACCTGAGCCGAAGGCAGTCGCTTAACCAACTGAGCCACCCAGGCGCCCTTATTTTTTTTTTTTAAGATTTTATTTGTCAGAGAGAGAGAGAGAGCACAAGCAGGGGGAGTGGCAGGCAGAGGGAGAAGCAGGCTCCCCGCTGAGCAAATGATGACCTGAGCTGAAGGCAGACGCTTAACTGACTGAGCCACCTAAGCATCCCTCAATTTTTGTTGATTTTAGAAAACAGACCACAAAACAGGAAAGGGATAAGGAGCTAGTTTCGTGGATAAAAATAACTCCACATAAAATCACTGTATCTACCTGAGCTGACTCATTCAATGCTTCCCTGCAAGTTGCTGAAGCCAGTTCTCAACAGAGGCATTAACAGAGCAGACCCAGGGAAGTCCAATCACTGAAGAAGACAGAATCTCAGGGAGTGAGAGGAAGCTGAGAGCATCTTTTGGATGCGGATTCCAAGAGGAAGGCAATTCCAGTGGTCAGACCAGGCTAATCAGAAAGTAAGGCACCACACTTGAAGCAGACAGACATCAGGGGAGCCCATCTCGAATGGAAAAAACCAAAGAGCAGGCAAACACGGCATCATGGAATCTGGAGGCAAGTGCTAATTAGGAGAATCAGGAGGTTAGTGGGGCCCTAGAGCTAGGTAAGGGCTCTGGGGCAAGACTGAGTACCCACAGCAGCAAAAGATGTCTCCAGTGTGTCCGTTAAGAAAAAAATCATGTCCAGTGTGGATGAAGACAGAGGCTGACAAGGTAGACCAGGACTCCGGTTTCAGAAATTTGGTTAAGGCACTCATTAATCTGCTTTCCATCACTATAAATCAGCTTTTGTTTTCAAGAAATTATATAAATCAAATCATATAGTATATATTCTTTTCCACCTGGCTTCTTTCACTCAACGTGATATTCTGAGATGCATCCATGTTCTTGCATGTATCACCAGTGAATTCCTTTTTGCTGAGTAGTATTACATGGTATGGATATCCAATTTGGTTATCCATTCACCTGCTGATGGACATTTGGGTTGTTTCCAGTTCTGGACTCTCACAAATAAAGCTGCTATGAATATTTGTGTGCAGGTTTTTGTATGAAGAAATATTTTATTTTCTCTTAGGTAACTACCTAGGAGTGGAATAGCCAGATCATACAGTGGACATACGTTTAACTTTACAAGAAACTTCCAAATTGTTTAAAGCGGCTGTACTTTATATATCCCCATAGGTGGTATCTGAGTGCTCCGCTTCCTCTACATTCTCACCAGCACTTCTATTCTTGGGTCTTTTTTTAGCAGTTGTAGCTCTGTGGTTTTAACGTCTATCTTTTCACACAGCTATTTGTCATCTACATATGAAGTGTCTTTTTTTTGGTGAAGTGTCTGTTCAAACTTTTTTACCATTTAAAAAACCATATTGTTTGTTTTCTTATTGCTCAGTTTTGAGATTTCTTTATGTATTCTGAACACAAGTCCTACGTCCGATACATGCATTGCGAATATTTTCCTCCAGTCTGTGACTTATCTTCCCATTCACTTAACAGTGTCATTGAAGAGAAAACGGTTTTAATTTTGATGAAGTTCTTTTTTCTATTTTTGGCCTTTTATGGATCGTGCTTTGGGTGTTGTATCCAAGAAATCTTTGCCTAACCTAAGGTATCAAAGATTTCCCTTATGTTTCCTCTATGTGTAAGGAGTTTCTAATCTTAGGTTTACATTTAACCATAGGCTCCATTTTTGGTTAAGTTTTTTACACAGTGAGAGGTATGGCTTGACGTTTATTTTTTAGAATATGGACATCCAATTGTTATAGCATCATTTGTTGAAAACAGTAATCTTTCTTTACTAAATTGCTTGTGTACCTTTGTCAAAGGCACATTTATGGATAACAAAAACCAGCTGACTGTAAATGTGTGGATCAATTTCTGGACTCTATAATCTTTCAATCTCTTCTGATCTACTGGTCTGTCTTTATGCCAAAACAACACTAACTTGATTATTGTACCTTTACAAGAAGTTTTGAAATCAGGCGGTGTTAGCCTCCCACTCTGTTCTTTTTCAAAGTTGTTTTAAGTTAATATGGGTCCTTTGCACCCCCATATAAATTTTTAGAATAAACTTGTCGATTTTTTAGAAAAAGACCAAAAACAAAACAAAACAAAAACAAAAACCCAAAGCATGCTGGGATTTTGATTGGGATTACACTGAATCCACAGATCTATTTGGAGACAAACTGACATCCTAAGAATATTGTGTCTTTCAACCCATGAACAACATATATCTCTCCAACTATTTAGGTCTTTAATTTCTCCCAGCAGTGTTCCATGGTTTTGAGTGTGCAAGTGTTTCACATCTTTTGTCAGAATTATCCTCAGGTATTTCATTTTTTCTGATGCTATTATAAGTTGTATTTAGAAAAATTTCAGTATCTGGTTGCTTATTGCTAATATACAGAAATACAATTGATTTCTGTATATTGACACTTCCTATAGAACCTGCAGCACAATCTTGAATAAAAGTGGTAAAAGTGAATAACCATGTCTTGTTCCTGATCTTAGGGGAAAAAACATTTAAAAGCATTTAGTCTTGCATCATTAAGAATGATTCTAAATGCAGGTTCTTCATAGATGCCCTTTATCAGGTTGAGAGAGTTCCTTTCTATTTCCAGTTTGCAAGAACAGGAGTTAGATTTTGTCAAATGCTTTGCATCTATGAGATGATCACTTGGTTTTTCTTTTACAATTTGTTAATTATGGCTTGTTCATATGGTGAATTACATCACGTGATTTTTTCTAATATTAAACCAACCCTTTGGGATAGGTCCCACTGGGTCATGATGTATTATCCTTTTTACATATTGTTGGATTTGGCTTGCTATAATTTTGTGTAGAATTTTTACATCTATGTTCATGCAGAATACTGATCTTTCCTATGTCTTTGTATGCTTTGGTATCAGGGTAACTCTGGAGTTGGAAATTTTCTCTACCATTTTCTCTTCAGATCACCACTATGAAGTAGGTCTAATTATCTCCTCTTAAAAATCAGGAAACTGAAGATCAAAAAGAATAAATAACTTGGTTCAAGGCATAAAGCACCAAAGTGGCCAACGCCAGACCTGAAATTAGGTAAGACCTCAAATTCTAGCTACCCTTACAAAAGGGACATAGATACCACGAGAAGTCTCCAAAATGAACACTGTTGTGACTTCCCATACTTTTTCTTACACATGTTCCAAACCCTTGGCTAACTTTTGCCAACCAGAAATATCCACCTGATACTCTAATTCTGCAGGAGGACACTATCCTATCCTGTCACTTCGGTTGCCAGTTCTTTCCAGACACCTCCTTCCAAACACCATGTCTTGGGCTTACTATGGAGCTCGTGGAAAACATTCTTACGCTACTGACAGAGACTTTATAATTATTTTAAGAACAAGCTTTTGTTTTTAAATCATAAATAAGTAAATATTTAACTAAATGATTAAAATAAAGCTAAATTAATAGATGGCTAAACACATGGCCTTTGGTGATTTAACTTGGATATATGGACACATATATTTTATTGAGTTAAATATAACTGCAATAAACAATTCCACTCACACCAACGAAGGTAAGTCATTTATCACTCACAGATAGCCTCGGAATCTGTTGAGGTCATTGTTTGGGCTTTCACATTCTATCTTACTGGAGAATTTCTCTGGGTCAACTTCAGAGTCCTAAAAATAAATAAATAAATAAATAAATAAACAAACATTTTAAATCACAACACAAGAAGAATTCAATGTCAAAAAGATGACATTTTTACGAATATCACTTAATTTGCATTAAGCATATATGTGAACATTCTGAGCACATATATATTTAATTCCAACACATTTTATTTAAAATTTAAAAATAAGCTGGACATCAGCATCTTACAAAATTCTCTAATGGATTAAATGATAATTTTAGAATGCTTGATGAAACCAATGAGCAAATAAGGGTTTTTATAGAACACAGGCACAGATTCACTAAGAATAAGCCATGTGAACTTTATCTCATTTCCTTGTTTTTATATGAATGTTCACTTAACAAAAGAAATACTATTGATATATCTTGTAACGCATTAACATATCACAGCAAATGTATGGAAAATCTGAGTTATATAATCATATGATTTGATTTGTTAATCAATTTTTTGAGTTCTTCTGATGTACCAGAATCTCGACTATGTACTTTAAATACATTAATTTCTTCTTTAAAACCCCATGAGGTAGGTGTTATAATTAGGTCTAATTAACAGATAAAGACAGAGAAGCACAAAGAAGATCAATAATTTCCTATAGGTTTCCACATAAGGCAGGCTTTAGAAATAGGACTGCAAACTAGGTCATGGGATTCCAGAGAACTGACCCTTAACTGAACCCAAAGTATGATGACTAATCAACTGCCATCACCCTTAAAGTAGGTACTTAGTGGTATATAATAGAATCTCAAATTGTATAAGATTTTTACCAATGTCTTAGTTACATAAATGCTCACAAAAGTGACAATGACAAGCTGAGAGGCATATCAATCACAGGATCCAAATTAAATCCAGAGACAGAAAGATGGCCCACTGTTACATCAGATGATGAAATTTACTGAAGATTAGGGCATTTATGTGGCTAAAACACTTTTTAGTTTACAAGTATAAGATGAAGAAAACCTGACTTAGCAGTTCAGTTTTAAAAAGACCATTATTTTTTTTTAGTTTTGATACCTGCATGCTTGTTATTTTTAAATTTTTTTTATTAACATATAACGTTTATTAACATAAACAAAAATTGTTTGTTTTAGAGGTACAGGTCTGTGATTCATCAGTCTTACATAATACGCAGCGCTCACCATAGTACATACCCTCCCAATGTCCATCACTTAGCCACACCATCCTTTCCAACCCCCTCCACTCCAGCAACCCTCAGTTTGTTTCCTGAGATTAAGAGTCTCTTATGGTTTGTCTCCTTCTCTGGTTTCATCTTGTTTCATTTTTCCCTCCCTTCCCCTATGATCCTCTGTCTTGTTTCTCAAATTCCTCCTATCAGTGAGATCACATGATACTTTTCTTTCTCTGACTGACTTATTTCGCTTAGCATAATACCCTCCACGGCGTTGCAAATGGCAAGTTTAAAAAGACCATTAATTTTTAAAATACTTCATCTCAAGTGTTTCCAGAGAAAGGGAAAGGAAACTGATACGTAAGCACTATCCATGACATTTTTACATATATTACCTCATTTGCATCTCACAGCAAAGCTATGAAGCAGGCATTATTGTTTCTACTTTAAGATAAACTGATACATAAAATAAGTGACTTGCCCAAGGTCACACAGTAATTAAATAGCAAAACAGGAATTCATTCAAACTCATGTTAATATAACTTTAAAGTTTTTGTTTCCCTCGCCACAGCAGGGTCTATTAAGGTCTAGAAGCTCTGTGGCAAGAGAAGCTACACGAATCTCAAAAGGTCTGGGTATAGATGCAATTACAGATTTTAGGAACAGAAGGTGATTATTTCCATTGCAAAATAACTCTCCAAATTGCAAAGTAATTCCGTTTCCTTTAATTCAGTTCCAAAAAATATAGGATTGCCAGACTAAAATGTGTGAACTTCAAAGTCATTACATCCTATTATCTGTAAAACACTTCCACAGATAGCTGGAAATGGATTAAGTCCTCTGGGATTCTATTTTGTAATAGTAAAAATGAATTTAAAAATCTCTTTATATGTACCTGTGAAAATCTTCTCAAAAGAAAATGTTAATAAATCACCAACTGAGAACACATTATTTACCTGCTCTGCATATCCTCGAACCACCTGCCTCTGTTTTAAATTGCTCTCTCCATCAAGACCAGAAGTCTCAATGTGACAGATTCCATCTGGATCAGTAGAAAAGAGTAAGACCATGTCTGCAGGAATAACCTCATTACAGGAAAGGCGAATAAAGTCCCCAACAGCAACATCTTTCCAGCACTGGTCGACATATTTTTTCTCTTTCCTAACATTAGGGGGAAACAAAAGCATAAAGAGAGTATGAAGACAGAAACATATATAATCTGGGTGCCTGGGTGGCTCAGTTGGTTAAGCGACTGCCTTCGGCTCAGGTCATGATCCTGGAGTCCCGGGATCCAGTCCCACATCGGGCTCCCTGCTCAGCGGAGAGTCTGCTTCTCCCTCTGACCCTCTTCCCTCTCATGCTCTCTGTCTCTCATTCTCTCTCTCTCACATAAATAAAATCTTTAAAAAAAAAAAAAAAGAAACATACATAATCTTATTTTTTCAGTTTTGTGTATAATTTAAAGCATGTGTATAGCCTTAGGGTGAATTTTAATCCATTAAATGTTAAAAGGGAAGCCAGAGAAAACCTAAATTCCAGAATTTGTTTCACCTGAAAATTGAGTTATTGAGCTAATAAAACATATTTCTCAGCTTTGTCCTTTGAGCTTTTGAACTATTATGCTGTTTGAGGTATAACTGGAATAAAATGAACATTTGCTGGGTTTATTCACGTACAACACAATCCCTGTGTACTGCTGTTGTCAGGTATCAAGGATCCAGAAATGCATAAGACACATGTACTCTCACAGCGCTTCCTGTCTGTCTGATAGGATGAATTAAAGAAAACACCAAGGAAGTAAAATAAAAAAAAAATGAGGGGCGCCTGGGTGGCTCATATGGTTGGGCATCTGCCTTCGGCTCAGGTCATGATCTCCAGGTCCTCGAATCGAGCCACGCATCGGGCTCCTGGCTGGCTCAGCAGGGAGTCTGCTTCTCCCTCTCCCTCTGCCTCTCCCCTGCTTGTGTGCGGTCTCTGTCTCTCTCTCTTAAATGAATAAATAAAATCTTAAAAATTTTTTTAAAAATGAAATAAAATGAATATAATACTCAACATTTTAAAAATTATTATACTACTTATTAACACCTCTAATTATCACTTAATAGAAATACTGGTAAGACAGTCCTGAGTCTGATGCAGCTAATCACTAGAAAGGATGGAAAACATTCACCCTTTTCAAAAGTGTAGTTTTCCCCCATATATATTCATTTTAAGAAAAGATACATCATTTGAAGTTGTCTTGCCTTAAATACCCTGCTTTATGTTAAAGTTTTTGCCATACTTCTCAAGCCTTTTCATACTAACCTGCATGAATTATGCTTCAGAAAGCGTTTTCCTTAGAGTAGAATGAGGAAATCTGTATCACAGAACATATCAACTGGTTAAACAGCATTTCATATACAGTGTCACCAACCAATATTAGGAAGGCTGTCCCATTCCCTTATTGCCTACCTAATAACCATAAAAAACTGGTATTTGTCACAAAAATACACTTATTTCAAAAGTAAAGATTTCCAATTACATTTATAGAGCTAAATATTCACACTCATTGTCAAAGATGCCTGGGAGGCAGCTATATTCTAAATTGTGCATCAGATTAAATAGAAATGCCACCTTAGGGCAAAACTTGTATACTTTCTGCTCTACAGAATTATATCCATTATTTCAAGAAATATTTAGCTTAAAGGGCTACCTAAGAAATACCTTTTCAGGGCTTATTTTCCCAAAATATCTAATGCACCAGGCTGAATCCAACTAAAGGAAATCCTTGATTACCTAAAGATTTGGTTAGTTTACAGAGAAAGGCAAATCAATGATTTTGTCCTTACCATTCTTTTTCCTAATGTTTGTGCACACCCGTTCACTCTTCGTGGAGGAAAGTAAGAGGGAACATCCAAAAACATAGGTATGGGTCATATTTCAAAGGTTCAGTCCTAAAAGTCTAGGAGTAGTGATTTCATTCCATAGAAAATGGGGATTCACAAGCTTCACCAGGAGGAGGAAGATGGGATGCTACTTCTATTTACTAACTCCTGTGACAGAGTAATGGATGGACTTTGGGTGTCAAGCTAGCTTGGTGTAGGAATGGCCAAAAAAACCAACGTAAAGTTATTGAAATAATTCAGGGGAAGAATGAAGATGGTCAGAAGGCAGCAGCAACAGGGATAAACAGAAGATTAATTCAAGACGTATTTGGGTTTTTTGACTTAACTACATGTTTTAGGACTTACCACACCACATTTTATGACTGAACTACATGTAAAGGAGTTACCAAGCATGACTCTACAGTCTCTGACCTGTATGATGGGATGACGAATGGTGCCTTTCACCACATCTCGAATTTTCGAATTACTGGTTGCATGAGAGGGCAGATAATAAACTCAGACTGGAAAGTTTTTATCTGAAGCAGGATGTGAAACCGAGGATGTGCAGCAATTTGAGGGTTGTGATCTTATGCTCATGGGTACAGATATAAATGTGGAAGTCCTAGGAACACAGAGGGCAGGTGACACCAGGTAAGGACATGAGATTCCTTAGGGAAGGAGACTTCAAGGTAATAAAGAAGTGGAAGGAGACCCCAGAGAAAGTAATATCAGAGAAATCTAGAGAGAAGGAAACTTCAAAAAGGGAGTAATCCTAGTGAAGCAGCAAAGGGGCCAAGCCTATGGTATTCAGTGATTAGGATGTCTGTTGACTATGGAAAATGCTGATAGAGTGAAATTGTTGCTGGGAGTATGAATAAGGAAGTGAGACCTCCATGAACCAGAGAGTGACTAGAAGTTGAAGAAGTAGAATATTTCATGTTTAGCTATGAAAGGAAATAAGGGGTAAAAGCAGCCACTGCAATGAAAGGTAGGACAAAGGATGAGAGTAATTGGACATGAACATGAGATGTACGAAAGGAGTCCATGGAACAGGCAAGGTAGAAGACAGAGCACTGAGTGGGGGATGCTGGTGGAAGCTATGGAGAAACAAGGAATGGGATTAACCACACAGAGGAAAGGATTCCTATCACAATAAAGGGAGTTGCCTCTTCATCTAAGGTCAGAAGAAAGTTGTTGAAAATGTGAATGATCCACGAAGGAATGGGGGGTACACAATTCATGTTTCATGGCCTCTACTTTTTCTATGAGGAAAGCTACAAGGAAAATTTGCTAAGAATTTGTAAAGATAGGAAGAGAAGACAGACTTGACTCTTAGGGTTAGGAATTTTATTTTTCTTTCAAACATAAGAAGTAGGATTCCTTTAAAGGTCAAGTTTGTTTATTCTACATTGGAACAAAATTTAAATGAAGCCAATTTCATAATTAACTTCATTTCTCCCTATTTGGAGTATACACCAGGATGTCAAAAAAAATACCTAATTCGCCCAGCAGCTAGCTAGTTCAGGTCAATAAACATCTATGGACCTTAATTTATGCCAGTTACACGTTAGGTGCTAAGAACACAAATGGTTCATATATGGTCACCACCCTATACAAGTTATGGTTGAAATTAGAAAAAGAGACACAAACAGTACTTTCATAAGAGAGAGGTATGCATGCCCAGGTTACTATGGGAGCCAATAGTTGGGGTGTTTAGTCCTGGAGCAGGTGAGTCTTGATGGATGACCAAGAGTGACTCAGGTGAAGAAAGGTGGGACAGTGTATCAGTCAGGGTACAAAGACACAAGGCAAGAGAGAGCTCGTGTGTGAAAGCAACTGCAAGCGAGTGACAATGCTCACTGCCACATTTAACTAGCTCTGAAGATTTCTCATTGTGGTCGACTCAAAATGAGACTGTATTTCCTTACCCAACAAAGAATTAAAGCTAGGAGGAGGACCTTCTTCTCCCACAGCCTGAATGTTCAGCTAGAATTTCGTGCATCTACTTGGTTGTACGCGCTTCTGAACTACTCTCATTGGACAGAACATTGCTCTCACAATCCCTCCTTCAGGCAAACTTCTAGACCCATTTCGCTTCTTTAAGAGTTCAAGATCACACATCTTTGCTACATAAGCCTTGGGAAACATAGGGAAGGACACACTGGACTATTAACTGTGATTCCACTGGAGTGGGAGGAAGGGGAGAGGTAAGAAGGAAGGGTGGAGAATGTAAACTTCTACTTCTTGCTTTAACAAATTTAAAGAGAGAAAGATGAGAATTATGAACAAATTTTTCTCTGATTTTTTTAGCATTTTCCCATAAGATGCTAAAAAAATTTATAATAAGCAAATAATGAATAATCATTGCATACAACAGCAAAGATTTATCAGATGCTCTATATTCACCAGCTGATTTAATTTTTGTATCAATGTTATGTGGTTGGTCCTATAAATGAACTATGATCCCTGCCCCTCTGCCTTTATAAATGAGAAAAACTGGTTTTGGCAAATTAGGTAACTTGCTCAAAGTCACACAGCTCCTAAGTGGTCCTGGGATTTAAAACAAGGCTGGTAGCTCCAGAGCCCATCTCTCAAGAAGCAGACTTTACTCCAGCTACAGTCACTTCCTGATGACCACCAAATAAAAAATGTTTTAGTTGTATATTAGAAAGCGAATTTGAAGAACCATCACTTTTGAAAACATCACACAAAAGGCTGATTACCTTAGAAGGCCACTGATGTTTAGTCTTATTTTAAGCAGCATGAAATTCTATGAATTTACGAGATTCATGAATTTATGAGATAGTCCTAAAATGTTAACATTAGCCAGTATTTTGAAACTCCTAAATTCAACACAGTGATTTTTAAAGATCAGAAAATAATGTAGGGTCCTGGAGGGAAGGCACTGTATCTATTTTTTTAAAATCTATTTGTCCTTTAAATCTCAGTCTCTCAGGGCCTACAACACCGTAGGGCACTCAAATTTGTTAAGTGATTAATAGTTTTGTTTTCAACACACTTCTATTATCCTTGAAACAAAACTTAAAACCTTATAAACAGCTGTTATTTGAAAGGCAATATTGAGAAAGTTAGGTTTTCCATAATAGCTCACTCCAACTTAATTGAGGTATAATAAAGTTTAAATGTTCAATTTCTATATTAGTGTGTTATTTCCCAAGATACTTGCCCAAAGACAAGCACCATGTGAAAGACCACATATTACAAGTAAGAATCAAATTATCTGCACAGAAATGTTAATACGCTTCTTCCAAAAGCTTGCACAATGGCTTCATATTT